ACGTGCCCAGTACCGTTTGGAAGCTTCACTTTTTTTGTTTCCAAGACGACCGATTTGCTGAGATTTGTAACCGTGCCGCCAAGCACCGGTACAGAAGCAGCAGTAGACATTCCGGGCACTTTACTCTTGTCTCGAATGATTGGTTTAATCGTCGTAGTCGAGCCTCGACGTCGGCTCGGTGGTTTGTTATCGGTGCCTCGACACTTCAACGGGCTACGAATAGTGGTCACAGAGGTTGAGTCAGTTGCAGTACCGCCACCACCAGCGCCGCCACAGCCATCATTCGGAGTTGATCCAGCATCCGTGTCCGTATTCTGAACAATCGTTGCAGTAGCCTCAATATCTGCAGAGTTATGATGGCGTCGATGTGAGGCGGAATGCATTAGACGGAACATTCGAAATTTTCGCGTTAACCACTTCAGAAACGACTTAATTGTGACCAGAAAAATGAAAGCACATAGAATCGCCGCGGTTCCAACGCCAACCATTGGATCGTAGTTGCGAAAGAAGTCCTCATTGGTACGTTCCGGATTCACGTCCATGAAATCACGCTTCTCAGGCACTTTACATCGTAACCGTGGCAGTTTTGTTGCGGATGGTGGCTGTGTTGGTGATGGTATTGAAGATGGTTGTATTGACGGGCTCGAGAATGATGAGGATGAAGCTTGTTGCGATGAGGAAAATGCTAGCTGGGCACACCGCCGCATACGGCTACTCATCTTAGCAGCAAGCAAAGCAGTAATGTTTTACGGCAATAACCACGCCTTATTTCTTGTGTTATAGCCGATATGTGTTGTGGGCTTTGGCTTCAGCTTATCGTTCGCTAGCTTGGTTTGGCCTGGATTTGAGTTGAATTTTATGCGGCGGATTCGCTGAGATTTATTATGCTTGTTGAATATTTGCATTTATTTGTAATCATTTCATGTGTGTTGTTATGTTCTCGTTTTATTTCATTTCATTATGCTTCTTCGACATTCACTCGTACTCTCGCAACTCTGTGCGACTGATCATCCATTCATTCGATGTTTTTCTACTCTTCAAGTACAAATCGCTTTGTCTGTTAAGCCGCCTGTGTCAAACTGTTGCTATTTGCACAGAGATTGAATCACATTGGCATGAGTGAGTGGTCTGGATAATCCGTAACTACTACGTATAACACATCACTGGCGTTAACAAGTTGATCCTAAGTCAGTTTGATCTGTCGATCACAAAGATATGCTGCATTCAGATGGATGGATGTGCAATCATCAAAGAATTTTTTGTAAACTAGTAAATTCCATCAGCAAACAAAGAATTGAAAAAATTTAAAGAAATGGATTGGAATCAATCCATTGAGAGAACGTCAACAAATGCACTGGATCTTGAAGAAAGAGTTTTCAGAGAGTGTTATTCAGACATTACAGGTGCTCACTCATACACTGCAGGCATCAGCTACATCGGAAATTACATTGCACTTCAAATGTTGATTCTTTATTAAACTCATTAATAATGCTCACTAGATGATTGTTAAG